TGGTGGGGGGGATGGAGGAGTCGGGATGTGGTAGAGAACAGAAGCCTGGGGTTGTTCTTCGCCTCCAGGTGTATGCTGGAGTAGAAGGACGACTTGGCTGAGGCTAGAGTGGAGCGGAAGGTTTTGAGGAGGTCCAGCCAGATTTGCCGGTGAACCATTAGGCCAGATTTGAGGCAGGTGCGTACACAAATCAAAATAAGTGAAAAACTTGTAGCACAGGAACATTCATTGCTGACAGCTGTGTACAAATGAGATTCAATTGAATAAATAGACAACAAGGAGAATAAGACTATTTCTTTTTTCTACTAAATAATAGAAGCCACATTTCTATACTAATCCTTGTATTTGATATAGCGCCTTATCAGGTCTTCTAGAATTCTCAAAGAGCATCACAGAATATACTGTAAAGTGATATGACTGTATGTTTTGTGGGAGACTATGATTTCTGTTAGGTGTGAGCAGATACACAATTTGCTCATGAATCCTGACAATTTTGATTACATGTTCTGTGGATATATCAACCATGCTCACTTTTTCAAGTCTGCAGTCAATTTATACGCAAGAATGGAAATTTACTAATTCAAATGTAAATTCACTAGGGGTCAGCCTTGGCTCAGTTGGGAGCACACTTGCTTGAGTCAGAAGGTTGTAGATTCAAGTCAGGACTTTGAACTTACATTGTCTAAGCTGCCACTGCAAAGTAGAGCAGGGGATGTGCTGCATTGTTGGATGAGATATTAAACTAAAGTTCCAAATGGTCATTCCTTGATGGTGGTTTTAGGGATTTGGTTATGCACAAATTGCCAAAGTCACTACACTTTACCCGTGAAGCACTTTTGGACATCCTCCTGATGTAAAAGATGGCACATGAAATGAAAAATTATTGCTATTATTATCATCATCATCATATTCACACACATACAATTTAGACCTGCAGGAACTCAGCGTTAAATTGTATGCTTTGGAAATGAGGTGCAATAGTTGTAACAAAACTGCTTTGGTAAAAGGAGTAAAAGAGTTCTGACTTGTGTTGAATCCAACGCTTACCAACGATTCATAGGAATGATTCACACTGATTTGTTTCCTTTCACTGAAAATTTGTAGTCATTCATGGTCAAAATTGCATATAATCTGCAAAACTAAACAGGTCATTCACGCAATTAGTCCATGCTGGTGTTTATATTCCATATGGGTCTTCACATTCTTTCGAACAAGAGGGTATAGGATTATCAAATGCAAGGTTTAGAGTTTAGGTTTAGAGTTTCAAACCATTTCAGGACAGGCACTAAGAAGTATTTAATTAACAACAAACTGGTTTACCAGGAAGCATAGTTGAGATCAGAACGCTGAACTCATTGAAAAAGCTTGCTACTGGGATAGGAAGATGGTAGGGTGGGACTTCTGGAAGAATGAGATCACATTGGCCAAGGGACCTTCTTCATTCAATTGTTTCTCAGGACAATTTTAGATTAATAATTGGAAATTAGGAGTGTAGTGACTCATAATGGGGATGGGACGGGGGCTGATACCTGGAACTAAAATGACAGTAGTTGCCAGTGCAACAAACTGAGCCTATTCAGAAATCCTTGAATACCCTAAATACCCTTCTCATAATTTACGTGTCTACCTTCAGATGTGAGTTGGAAGCATTGTTCATCAAACAGTATTTATTTCACAGATTTTTTTCTGATCTTTTCACACATAAGATATATCTTGTCAAATTTAACAGATATTACATTCAACTCGAAAGTCAAATCTCAACAATTACAATGTGTATTCCTCTTAAAATATATCCCTTTCTACCCAATATCCATGATTCTGGATTGTGAATGTGATTTTCCAAAACTCAAAGACTCTGGGTACTTCCAACAACATTTGCAGTAGAAATACCTTTATATATCATGTGCTGAATGAGGAGTTATAGCAACTAGAATTATTTTCATATTTTTAAATCGTAGTTTAGAAAATTGTGAATAATCTGATACAAGAAAAATCATGTAAAAGATGTGTGGTGAAAATGAATGCAGTGATCACCAATTCACAGCAAATCAAGCTGTCAGTTCTGAGTTATACAGTGAAGTATATTACAGCTGGATTACCTCATTCTATTAAATGTTTCTTTCTACCTTTAATATTTACATACCACTGCAATACACCCAAACATTTATGCAAATAATTTAACTTTGTAAATATTTAAGGCCCCTGTCAGATTAGCAGTGAGTACCCATTGCTGTAATTTAGTTGAATCTAGGTTTTAAAGGAACATAATAAAGCAGCGCAGCTTACTCTGCTCGGCAGTCTGTTATTCCACATTTCTGATAACCTTTGAACCTTGCAAACTACACTTGTTTAACTGTGACAGAGATAAATGTCCCATAGTTAGCCTGTGCCTTGAGTTTATATCCAATAATTACAATTTGGAATTGTGTTTATTTTGAATGAGTGGTTCACAGTTGTTGTAAGCTATGCATCATTGGAAATGTCAGCTCTCCTGCTGTTTGCTTCATACAAAGGACATTTTGCATTTTCTGAATGGCCAAAGGGTAAAACCAATTATTCAAAATCTACACATTTATAATTTTTTGAGGCTAAAAACTTGCATTTGCATTTGGTCAAATGTAAGAGCACTGAGTGGCTTAAATATGTGGGTAGGTTTGAATAAGTGTATCTTGGATCATGTATTCATATTTGTTCTATCAGTACAAATTCACACTGAAGACAAAATACAATTGAAATCAATACATTGTTTTCAACAAAATATCTGACAAACCAATATTTGATCAGAATTGAACTACCACCAGAAATGAACCATAATACTGCATAGGAAGCTTCTGCATATAATGGGTTAATTCAACAGTTATAAAGTATTCCAATAATATACAAATTGAGACCCCTTAGTTTTGCCATGGATGCTTTGCTGCACTAAACGATTCTCACAAATGCGTGGAACAAATGAAAAATTAGAATTATAATGGAAACAAATTGCTGTGGTGCACAGTGTTAATAGCAATAAATACGGTACCAATATTTGCATAGGACACATCTGTGCAGCTCTTGTGAGTTGTATATAATGCACTGGAATTTAGATTCAGCTCAACTCTTCCACTTTTAACAATGAATCTTACAACAACAACAACAACAAGATCCCATTTATAAAATTATAATTATATATGAATTAGTTTTGCTGCTTGAGAGGCTGGTTAAATTCTTAGAAAAACATTTTCATCTCGGAAATTCTAGGTACATATTAGGGCCTAAAAACATGTGTATAGACCCTTGTGAAATTATACCTACATGATACAATGCCTCAGTTCTCCTGGTAGTTATAATTGTTAAATATGCACATTAACATTACTATCTTCCATAGCAATTTTTTTTAAAAAAAGCTTGTCCCCTCCCTAACAATATTTCTAATTAAACACTGTGTAAAATAGGATTATCGAATGACACATATTGTGGTAATATATACACTTGTAAGGGAAGCAATTCTACTTACAATAGGCTCCCAATAGACTGGTCAAATGTGAAAACTTGTCATATCAGGAAATCACAAGGGTAATTCTATTGCACTGTTTGGCACAACACATTTGTACAGTTGAACAATGAGATCCTTTTCTACCATGGTGTACTAAAGTTAAACGTGATCTTGATGACTCAGTCATCCATTCCTCAGCTCAACAAAAAACACTTACGTGAACCATATTTCTGTATATATTTTTGGTTGACACTGTGCCACTGCTTAAGAGTGCTTTGGACTACTTTTGATAGGATTCAAGTTCCCTTATTTGGTTACCATTTAAATTAATACATTTTGAACCCTTTCTTCACTGCATAAAATGGAAAGGAATTGGTAACTTTGTTGGCTATTTTATAAACATCGTTTCAAGTGATACAGCCAAGTAATTTACCAGACAGTAACTGCAATGAAAATTGGACTCTATTGTTCCACATTCTGCAATCCATCATTGTCATTGCTTAATAATACCATGGGTAATTAAATCCTTTTCAAATCTAGTTTCAAATTATTTATGAATAACAACCTTAGCAAACCTATGCCTAGGTTGATTTGTTCTCAATGTATCTTATAATGCATACCACTCTGTTAAGCAAAAGTCCGCACCTCAGGCGCTGACAGCATCAGCATCCAAGGCTGCACTCTCCACCTATCAAAGCCGTCAGGAACCTCGGTGTTCTGTTCGACCCTGAGCTGTCCTTTCTCCCTCACATCCGCGCCACAACTGGCAACGCCTTCCATCACCTCCGGAATATCGCCAGACTACGGCACTACCTCACCCCTCACGCTGCTGAAACTCTGGTCCACGCCTTTATCACCTCAAGGCTGGACTATGGGAACTCTCTCTTCGCCGGCCTTCCCGGCACCTCCCTCCACACTGCAGGTCATTCAGAACTCTGCAGCTCGTGTACTGTCCCGCACCAGACACCGCGACCACATCACTCCCACCCTCGCTCGCCTCCACTGGCTCCCCATCCCCCAGAGGATCGAATTCAAGATCCTCATCCTCACCTACAAGGCCATTCACGGCCTCGCTCCCTCCTACCTCTCCGACCTACTATCCCCCTACTTACCTGCCCGTTCCTCTGGCTCCGGTCTGCTCCACATCCCATGCCCCAACATCGGTGGCCGGGCCTTCAGCCTCTCAGCCCCGAGGCTCTGGAACTCTATCCCCCAGTGCCTTCGCCGCTTCCTCCCTTTCCCCCTTCAAGGCCGGTCTCAAAACCTTTCTCTTTGACCGTGCGTTCAGCTCCCTCTCGACTCTCTACCCCCTCCTCGCTTCCTCCCTCCCCTCACCCTGACCATTTCCCCCCTGCTCGGGTCCTGACCCAACTGTACAGCGCCTTGGGACGTCCTCCCGACGTGAAAGGCGCTCTATAAATGGAATCTTGTTGTTGTATATTTCATAGAGTGATACAAGCCATTGTCTGATTGTGCACAATTTTAAAATAACATTGCAGATTGATTTAGAAAACTTCAAGACTGTTTAATAGATAATGCAAACATACCTTTGAGGGATGCTACCCCATGCACCATGCTTGTTTGTCAGGATGTTGAGAATTTTCTGCTTTAGTTGATTGGCTGTAACATGATCTCGGTGCTTGGCAGCACTGATGAGATGCTCGCACATCTTTTCTTCCTCTCTTCTGTCTGCAGCATACTGAGCACACTGGGACTGTGGATGAAAAATAAGCCATTGGATTTAGATATAATAACTAACAAAAAAGTTATCTGAGAAGTAGTAACTACTTAAACATTTCTATAAACTAAAGAGTGCAACAAAACTATCAAGAGACTCTTAACACTGAGTACCACATTGTGTGCAGATCAAAATGCAATGGTAGAATCAGATGATTACTTTGAAAATACTATTCAAAGGATGGTTAATCTGGCAGTTCAAACTGGTGAGGGCAGTCTTTATTTTTACTTACTTTTACAACAACAAGATTCCATTTATAGAGCGCCTTTCACGTCAGGAGAAAGTCCTAAGGCGCTGTACAGTTGGGTCAGGACCCGAGCAGGGGGGAAATGGTCAGGGTGAGGGGAGGGAAGGGAGGGAGGGAGTGAGGAGGGGGTAGAGAGTCGAGAGGGGAGCTGAAGGCACGGTCAAAGAGAAAGGTCTTGAGACCGGCCTTGAAGGAGGAAAGGGAGGAGGCGGCGAAGGCTCTGGGGGATAGAGTTCCAGAGCCTTGGGGCTGAGAGGCTGAAGGCCCGGTCACCGATGGTAGGGCGGTTGGGGCGGGGGATGTGGAGCAGACCGGAGCCAGAGGAACGGAGGGTACGGGCAGGTGGGTAGGGGGATCGTAGGTCGGAGAGGTAGGAGGGAGCAAGGCCGTGAATGGCCTTGTAGGTGAGGATGAGGATCTTGAATTTGATCCTCTGGGGGATGGGGAGCCAGTGGAGGCGAGCGAGGGTGGGAGTGATGTGGTCCCGAAGCCTGGTGCGGGACAGTACACGAGCTGCAGAGTTCTGAATGACCTGTAGCTTGTGGAGGGAGGTGCCGGGAAGGCCAATGAGGAGAGAGTTCCCGTAGTCCAGCCTTGAGGTGATAAAGGGTGGACCAGTGTTTCAGCAGCGTGAGGGGTGAGGTAATGCCGTAATCTGGCGATATTCCGGAGGTGATGGAAGGCGGTGCCAGTTGTGGCGCGGATATGGGGGAGAAAGGACAGCTCAGGGTCGAACAGAACACCGAGGTTCCTGACTGGCTTTGAGAGGTGGAGAGTGCAGCCTTGGATGCTGATGCTGTCAGCGCCTGAGGTGCGGAGGCGCTGACGCGAGCCAATCAGGAGGGCCTCAGTTTTACGCACGTTGAGCTGAAGAAAGTTGTCTCTCGTCCAGGACTCGATGTCGGACAGGCAGCTGTCAGGACATCAGTGGTCGTGGAGTTGAGGATAGAGGAGGAAAGGTAGAGTTGGGTGTCATCCGCATACATGTGGAAGTTAACCCCATGTTAAAGTGGAAATGAGAGGAAACCTTTTAATAATTTAGGCAGGTTTCAAACACTCACTCAATGAAGATATGAATCGCCCTTCTCTCAACAATGAAACTGATAATTAAATAATAGCTAAAATACAGTAGTAATGAGTCTAATATTTCAAAAAATTACCTGGAGAGTGAGAGATAAAGGAAGTGCCATTATTCTTTCATGCTGTGAGATATCTATCCATAACAACTGTGAAAATGAGCATTACATTTCAGTCTAATCATCGTAATGATCAGTTATGGAGTCCTGTGGTGACTGAAGCATCCTTCCCAACAGCTAGCTAGAATGCATTGTAGAACGATAACTGTTTCTTCAAGATAGCAATAATAGTAGTGGGTAGCTCCATTATAAGGTTGCTGTCTGGGTCCAATATCTCGGGTCCTGTGTTATAAGGGGAGCATTAAAAACTGGCTGACTTTGAGGAATTGGGTCACTACTGATATAACTTCCTGTATGCAACACACAGGACACACCACCATTGTCACTTTTTTGCACACTGCACATGAGCACCATATATAAGAAGTCCTGCAGCATGCAGGGAAATATATTAGGGGCACTTCCTGAGCATGTTAGCACACATGTAAGTGGTCTAATTATAACTGGTTTGCCCTGTACTGTACGAAGAGATAAAATGTTTTTAGTCAAGAACCTCCTACAGTCAGATATAAATTCATTTAAAATAAAGCACTGCCTCAACAGCTAGTCTAATCTCAAAAGAACATCTCCTGACGTACCATAGAGAACATACCTTCATAGATCACAAGGTAATCCATCACCGGGTAGGTCTTATCTGGTGCACAATAAAGTGTATAATCTTTGAGGGAATTACGTAAGTGAATTCCCTCAAAGGTGCAACTGGATCGGCTCCCATCTCAATAATAATAATAATAATGAGAACAAAGGAGTAAAGGTGGTATGGGCAGGGACTCATGTAATAGCAAAACTTCCTCCTTAATTTAAAAAGTAAAGCATTGCCCGATAAGACCACCAATTGCAAACAAAGGGCTAGATAATTAATCTTCAACACCTAACAGCACCAATTAGCTAAACAGCAAAATAACAACATTACCAATCACAATTAAACAAATGGACTACAGCCTCAAACAATGCTGGAGAAGAAGCTGCCATTGGAGATCTGGTATGGTCCCTCTGGTATTGGGTTGCACTCAGGAGACAGGTCCTGCATTGACAGGAAAGATCTGAGCCAGAAAAGCAAAGCAATTAGAGTACTGGATATGAAGATAGCTTGTAATGCCAGCCAGTGACTGATTGCTGTGTGGCTGGAGAAAAGTGAGTTGGTGCTAAGCCAATTTTAATCATAAGCCGACTGTGGGTGAGATAAAGGGAGCTCTGTGTGCTCCGCTCCACTCACAACATGGCAGGTTGCAACACTGAATGGCAAAGGCCCATCTCCTTGAGCATCGTTTTGAATTGATAAAACCAGTGGTTTCAGTTTATAAACTCCTGACAAACTTTCCACATCATCTACCATTTAGAGCATGCCTGGCTGAAAATCTGTCCTCATATTGACAAGACAGACAAACAAGTGACCTTGGTTATATTATTATCAGAAAAAAACAGAATGAGGCCATCTAGCCCATCAGGTCTGTACTGGTGTTTTCTCCATGCATATCATTATATCATGTATATTATACACACATATATGTAATATACATGATATAATTTCCTTTTAAAATAGTTAATTGCCTCTGCTTTAACTGCAATTTGTGGTGCAGGATTCAACATTCCAAACCACATTTTTTAAAAGAGATCTTTTTTTTCTAATCTCCCCTTTAATTCCTTTTGTGAATGAAGTAATCCTTTTGCGAATCTTGTTAAATCTTTAAAGTGTGGGTTGTGTGTAAAGTCAATAGAATTCCCTGCTTGAAAATCAAACCGTTTTTACAGGAATTGCAGAATGAAAGAGAACCACAGCTTGAGTAAAAGTACTGTCGAGCATAGCTGTGAGCTACAGAGCAGAAGGTTGTCGGTTCGATTCCAGGCCTGTGCTGAATCAGCTGATGTATGTCAGAGCAGCAGTTGAGGTGCTATATTTATCCTTTGCATTCCTTGGGTAGGGAAAGGGGGTGCACAAAATCAGCTAGCATTCCCAGTCCTGAAGGCTATCCAGTAACTCCTGCTGGAAAGTGTGCCTATGTGGATGTCAACACAAGGACAAACTCAGCTGTGATGTCCTCCGTAGCTGAATAGACTGCCAACACTTATTGTGCAGACTCACACATGAAGAAAGGTTATTTGGGAAAGGTGCCTGAAGAGTAATGGCACTCGTGAAAACAGCCCAATGGGAGTCAGTGATGACAAGAGTGGAGAGAAGGGGAGAAATTAGCAGAAGATTCACAAACAAAATATTTTTACCCACACCTTACTATGAAATATTTCAATTGAGCTGAGGCAAGTGTTTTTTNGAGCGATCAGTTCAATGTTCTTGTGTTGGTTGTTTCATGGGGAGAAGACAGCATTTGTATGTAGGACTTTCTTATCCCATGGTAAAATGGAGAATTCCTGCTCTCTTAGAATGGAAAGTGACACTCAATGACAAAAAATGACATATAGTTTATTTCTGTCTATCTGTCTATTTATTGACAACCTATCTTCCAAGGTATTTAAGACTAGCAAATGTCTGGATGATATACACCACAGTTTCCTAAAAATAAATGGTTAAAGAATTATTTAGCAGATGGCAGTCAGGGAGTGATATTGATAGCTGTAAAAAAAGGTTGAGACAATCTAACCTATATTTATGCTGGGGGAGGTGGCCGTGAATGGGCAAAGTACCTAAATTGTAAAACACGGGAAAGGTAAATAAAGTATGATTCTATAGAAACTACAGATGACATATCTGATACGTTAGACTCATCTGCTATTTTAAAGTTCATAATTTTTCTTGCCATGATTTTCAATGGCTGTTGAACTTATTTTTAGTGTGTAAGTGTAAATGGATTTTTGAAACTAATGGAAACATCTTAATTTCCGTTACGTATGAGGTAAGACAGGCTTGAGGAAGCATTGTTTGGGAATAATGTTAATATCCAGAATCTCATTTGCTAACAGAGACCGAGAGATAATTGAATCTTTCCATTTTTTATCAAGTTCTGTCAGGTATTATATCTTAACATATTCTTCAAATAACAGATAACTCAATCTAGTACTGTCATCTTAGGTTACAATGCACAAAACTGATAAATATCATATCTACTATTTATCTAGTTTATGCTATGAGGCTGCACCTTGACACAGGTTGGTTGTGAATACATTTTATCTTACTTCTGAGATCTTTCATGTAACGCCTAATAATAATAAAGATGCAGTGAAGGCCTTCCATTTGACAAGTGTCTACTGTCAACCTCCTGATAAAATGAAGCAAAGGTTATGTTTATTTCTAGTGACAAGTGATATCTCTGTGTCTTATACTTTATCTGTTGGGGCAAAGATCATAAAAACTAGTACATCAAGCTGTTCATGCAAGGAAGCTGCTATGGCCAGATAAGAACCTCATCAAAACTGAGGTGCCAAGTTTTGCTTTCATCCATAAAGTACATGTTAGTAGTCTATGAATAAAAGTAACTGCACACGGAAACTGTGATTCTGATTTCATAAGCTTCTTAAAAAGTACTTTTGCTGTCAAGGTCCAATCCCCCCAAAAAAATGTTGGTGCATTTCCAAGTTAGTCT